GTGTAGTGGGTGAGTCCCCACCCCTGGAGGTGTTTCCAAGCTGTGGAGATGTGGGGTGAGGGACAGGGGGCAGTGGGGACCTGGCAGGGCTGGGTCACAGCTGGACTCAACCTCAAAGATCTCTTCCAACCCCAACATCTCCCCGGCAAGGAGTCCTGCCTGAGGAACACCCTCCTGAAGGACACTGCAGCAGACCTCCCACATCCTGCTGCCCTGGGACAACCCCTGCAGGCCAAGGTGAGTCCCCCCAGCCTACCTGTGGCTCTTGTGCAGCTCGATGACCTTCTCCTCCAGCTCCTTGGTGTGGTTGGGGGCGAAGCGGAACTCGCTGACGTAGTCGCCGCCGCACTCCTCGGGGTCGTAGTCCCCCAGCTCTGACTGCACCGTGTAGGAGCCCAGCAGGGCCAGGGTGACAAAGGAGCAGGGCAGCCTCCCCGACACGATGTCATCCCTCAGCTGCAAGCAGAGGTAGTACCTGCAAGGAGAAGGTTCTCCCTCGAGGAGATGTTCTAACCCCTCCCAGGAGCGTCCCCCGAGCGCCGGCGAGAGGCCTCGGAGCCTCTGCTCGTCTCCAGGCAGCTCTCAAGCTCAGGTGTTAATGAGGATGACACTCAATTTGAACAAAAAACAACCCATCTTTGCTTGGCTTATGGGTAGCAAGGTCTAATTTATCTTTAGAAAGCAGCACAGAGATCTCTTCATCAAACAGGTTGTTGCTTTAGTGACCTCGATGGAGAATTCCCCACTAAACACCCCCATGGTTCCTACCTTGAAGCACTCAGATAAATAGCTGGCTGGTAATGCTGCTCTTTAAGGTGAAAAAAGAACTAAAACCCCCCAAATGCTGCTCATTAAAGGGCAGCTGAACTCCAAGCTGCTCAAAAAAACAGTTTAGTGAGCTGCTGAGCTCTCCCAAACATGCATTTGAAGAGGAAATGGTGTTAAACCCAGAGGGATGAGCAGTGGAAAGGAGAAGAGGAGTGGAGAGTGTTGGCTTGGTGGTGAAGGCACCAAGTTCCAAGTGGAGATGTGAGGGTGGGCAGGAGAACAAAGCAATCCTTGCTTTTGGAAGACCTCCGTGGACCTTGTTACCCCTGGCAAAAATGGGCATCTCAGTGAAAATCAGAAACCAACTCTGAGGAATATTGGGAAAAATAGAGAGGAAAATTTGTGTTCTAGGGGGAAGTTCTAAAAAATAAGACATTGTTCATGGTGCATGTTTTCTACCACCTCAGAAAGGGGAAGGGAGCCCAGGGGAACACAAAACCTTCCTCTGCTGGGACAACTGGAGTCTAAGTGCTACCACCAGCAGCTCTGAAGCCCCTTCTGGAAAAGTTCTTTAACCCTTTGGACACCTGGTGATATCTTCTGAGAGCTGGGCAGGGTCTGGAGGGTAGAACTTCACATTGAATGCAAACTGCCAGGCACCACCTGCAAGAGAAGAGGGGATTGAAAGGACTCTGTCAGGGCAAGCCCAGATGCTCACAGACTTCAAAACACCCCAGCCAAGCAGCTTGGAAGGAGAGGATTTAGGGTCTCAGCAACGTAGGAGGTCAATAGAAAAGCTCTTCATTAAAAAAAAGGGGCAAGTCCATGTCTTGGAGGCAAAGACAAAGCACCAAACCCCACCCCACAGTGTTGTTACCAGCCCCACGTGGTTCTGCAGCAACACTGAGGGCTCTGCTGTGGGAGAAAGGAACCAAAGCCAAGGCAAGGACACTTCTGTTTCCCAAAAAACACTGATATCCAAGTCCAGGTCTAACTAGAAATGGATAGAACTCTCCTGAGAAGTCCATACTGGCTGTGTCATGAGGAAACAAACACTCCTGAGCACTTCACCAGTGACAGGAGAAGAGGGAAACACCCTCAAGTTGCCCCAGGGGAGACTGAGGTTGGCCCTGAGGAACAATTTCTTCCCCTAAAAAAAGGGTTGTTGAGCCCTGTGCCAGGCTGCCCAGGGCAGTGGTGGAGTCCCCACCCCTGGAGGGGTTTCCAAGCTGTGGAGATGTGGGGTGAGGGACACGGGGCAGTGGGGACCTGGCAGTACTGGGGGAATGGTTGGATCTGATGATCTCAAAGGCCTTTTCAAACAATTCTATGATACCTCTTTATAAATGTGAGAGGGTAGGAGCTTCCCACGGCCTGCAACTCAGGGGCACCTTGTGCCTAGGCACCTCCTGAAGAGGAAGGGGTCTGAAGATGTCTCTGGTGCACTGGAAACTCTGTGTGACTCCTGATGGGGTGTTTGGGAGCATTTATTGAGAGATGACCAAGAGATGTCATCCTGTGCAAAGCCCCATCCACCCTGGTCACCCACACACTGGGAAAAAACAGGCTCAGTGTGGAAGACTTTTGATATTTACCACCAGGACCTTCAGCTTTTGGTGAAACTTCTGGGCTCCTTGATTTCTGGGCTCCTTGATTTCTGGGCTCCTTGATTTTAGGAACTCTTCCACTCTCTTGGGCCATAAGAGCTGGTGGAAGGAAGATCTGGCTGGCAGTGAGGATGGGGCACAGCCCCACAGGGAGTGGGTCAGCCCCAAGGTGGGGATAGAGCCTGTGGTGACACCTGGAGCCACGAGAGAGGGAATGGGCCATGGACCCAAAATCTGCTCCTCTGGCCCACAGAGACCACATCAAACCCATGGTACAACTTCTCCTACAGCAGGGGTGGTGAAATCCAGAGTGTGAGGCCTTCACCCCTCACAGGGCTTCAGTTAAAGCCTAACCAGGGGCCACACACATGGTGACAGCCTCTCCTCCCCACAGCCATCCTCCTCCAGGCTCCTGGGGTGAACCCTCCAGAGCAAGCACATCACCCCTGGGAGATTCTACAGAGGGAACTGCCCCCCACATCCAGTCCAGGATGAGGCTCTTCTGCCCTGGTTCATCTCTTGCTGGCACCACCTTTCATTGTCTGCCTCACACAGCTCAGGGACATGAGAAATCCATTTCAAAGCAGTGGTGTGGAGCTGAGCTCCTGCACTTGCACTGACCACCAGCACAACCTGACTCACTGAGGTCTACAGCAGCTTCTTTTCCAGGTCCACCTTCTCAGGAGAGAGGTTTTCAGCACTTTTTACTGCAAACCACTGATTTTTAAGGAAAAGAATACTGGTGGGAAGCTGTGGTTGCTCAGAGGAAGTGGGGAAGTTTTCCAGCCAGGGGTTTGAGCAGCTCTTTGGATCTTGGAGAGGGGAGGGATTCATCTGCCCAACAAAGGTGAGCCCCCAGATCTATCTGCTTGTGAAAGCACAAGGGCCAGGAGAGACTACAAAACATGCAAAGAAAAACTCCTGAGGTTTTCCTGCCCAAACAGACAAACTTTTCATCAGTTTAAAAAACCCAAAGAGGTCCAAATTTGGCAGCCTGGATCAGATGGTTGTGCAGGCTGCAAAACTGTGAAGCTAAATTTAACAGCTGGGCTTTGTAAAATATTCATGTGAAGCAGAAAATTGCCCAAATCTCTGTGAACTGAAGGGGCATTTTGGGAGCAAAGTTCAAGCTTTTGAAACGCAGGAAGGGAAGATATTTGGGAAGATATTTGGGAAGATATTTGGGAAGATATTTTGGAAGATATTTTGGAAGATATTTTAGGCAGTTTTCTCTCTGCCTCAGTGGAGTGATTCAGTCTGGGCCACGAGCAGTGCTCCAGGGTAGGAGATGAACACCAGCAACATCAAGCAGCCATCAACACACGTGGCCTGGCCCCTGAGGTGACGTTGTTTAATGTCAAATTTGGGGTTTTTTTGCATCTCTGCAAATGTCAAGTTGTTTTCAGCTCCTGTGTTCCGAGCCTCAGCGCTCGTTATGGGGTGAAACCCCTCAGAGCTGCTCAGTGCCACCAGGCCCCCACACTGTCACAGGCACTGGCAGCAGTTTAGGGGAAGAGACTTTTTTTCCAGCAGGTTTTTGAGGTGTCATACAGCAGAGTGAAAGTTCCTCCCCCTCCCTGAAATAAACACAGCAAGGATAACAGACTTACTTCGGATCTGCTTCTTGATTTCCTTGGCAGGGTCCAACCAATTCTGCAAAGATAAAGGGTTCCTTTTTTTTTCAATTTGAATGAGAAAACACAAGAGATATTGTTTTGAAAGCAGAGCTCTGAGTCAGGGTGAAGGTCTGGCACCCCCTTTCTCCTCAGAGCAGCAGCAGGCAGGGATGAGACCAACTTCCAAGCTGTGGCCCTGGGTAGAAGTAGGATTTTTAGGAACCTTCCCAGACCCTGAGGAGCTGAATGGTTTGAAAGAAACCCCAGGAAACTAGGAATTATCAAAATAAATCCACAGCCATCTTATTCCAGAGTATCTTTGGGGAAGATTAAATTCTGCTGTGAGCACGAGGGGGGCAGAGGGAGAGTGGGGGGGACCACACTGGGCTGCCCCATCCATGCTGGAGGAGGTGAGGAACCATCTCAGCGACCTGGGGAGGTCAAGGAGCAGATGGAATTGCTGTGGGAGAGGGGTGCAAGCAGCCTGGGGTCCCTCTGTGCTGCTGCTGCCTCCTCCTCTAACAGAATCAATATTTAAAAGGGGGTCACACAGCCCAGAACAAAAAGTTCCCCCCTCCAGTGAAGTTCCACCTTCTCCAAAGAAACACAAAAACACCAGGGGAAAAGAGAAACACCAAACCCAGCAAATCACAACAACCTCCCCCAGCCAAAACAACCACTTTGCAGCTGTCCAAACCCAGCCTGGGGTGGAAAACAGGAGCCTGAAGAGCTCCAGGGAGCGAGGAGTTAAAAGCTGCAGCAGGATTCCTTGTTTTCAAAGAGCAGGTGGGAGGTGGGCACAAATATTGCCTGGCTGGAAGCTCTGAGGAGGGAGGCAAATTGCTAAGTGCTTTGCCACTAAAACCATGCCTGTTCCTGGGCAGTGGATGGGGTGGCAGGTGGTTCTTCTTTTAGCTGCTTAGCTGGGTGATGAATAAACGTTCCAGGGTTTCTAAACCATCTGTTAGGCCTGAGTCCATTCCTCTCTTTCCAGTGCAGGAAAGCACAGCAGTCTGGAAAGGAGCTTAAACATCTGCCCAACTTCCACCACAACTCAGAACTGAGCAGATGGGGAAGGGTTATCTCCCACCAAGGGTCTGCTGAAGTCATTTTCTGACTCAGAAAAACACTCCTCACCTTGCCAAGGCTGTAAAGAAAGGGGAAAAGGGAGGCAGAGAGACTGGATTCCTTCATCTCAGCTCCCTGACACAAAGGGAAGAGAGAGTAGAAAATCCAGCTGTTGTCCTCACAAGCCATGAACAGCTCCAGCTCCATCAGAGACCTTTCAGGGCGTGCAGAGAACACTCATCTTCTCCTGGGGAGCTCTGCAGGGCTACTGCACAGCTTCCTCAGGAGTCCCCTTGCTGGTTTCTCTCAAAATATTTACCTTAAAAATGCCAAAATCACACAGCACACTTTAAACTCTCCTTGGATGTCCTCCCTTTTTCATCACAACGTGTCCAAGGCAGTGGATCTACCTCACCTGCACATCAGATCATCTTGGACACTGCTAACAGCAGCTTGTTTAATGCTGAAGTTGAGATGAAGACAAGCAGAAGGTGATTCACTCTCCACCAACTGCCTCTGAGGACCAAGGTCTTTGGCTGCATCAACAACAACCCCAGAATCATGGAATGGGTTGGGTGGGAAGGGACCTTTGGAGGTCACCCAGTCCAACCCCCTGCAGGGAGCAGGGACATCCCCAGCTAGAGCAGGGTGCTCAGAGTTGTGTCCAACCTCCCCTGGGATGGTTCCAGGGATGGGGCAGCGACCACCTCTCTGGGCAGCCTGGGACAGCATCTCACCACCCTCAGTGTCCAAAATTTCTCCCTTCTCTCTAGTCTAAATCTCCTTCTTTTAGTTTCCAACCAGCCCCCCTTGTCCTGTCCCAACAGTTCCTGCTCAAAAGCCCCTCCCCAGCTTTCTTCTAGGTCCCTTAATGCTACCAAGTCAAGACTTAAAGCCTTGTTTTATCCCAACCACAGCATTACTAACCCATATTTCACCACCCACCAACACAAACCTGCCCTTCAGCTCTGGCAGCAGTGAAACAACCCCCCCAAGGAAGAGAAGCAGCCACATGATTCCCTTCCCCCACACCATCAACACAGAGGGAAGCCAGGGAACCACAGGGGATCATCTCCACAAGAAGAGTCACCCCAAAAAAACTCTCTACACAGCTTTGGAACTTGGCAAGGAAGGGAAACCCAACTTGTGGGCTGCCTGTGAGAGTCCAGGGGTGCCCCTGGGAGCTCTGGTGTCCCCCTGCCAAACCCCAGGCCTGGTTTTGGGGGGGGTTACCTTTTGGTTTTCTGTGTCTCTGTAGGTCAGCCCAAAGTAGTCCTTCTCCAGGAGGTTGAGGTGCTCACACACTTTGTCAAACAGCACTTGACCCCTGGAACGTTTCTGTGGGGAATGAGCAGGAAAAAAACCCCATCACATGTGCAGAAAAAAGTCACAGAAGCATTAAATTGACACTTTTTTTTTCCTGTTTAATCCTCAAATCAATAACCCTGGAATAATGTAATTCAACTCATCCATCTTTCAAACCTGTTGACCTGGAGCTTCTTCAGAATCTGCTGAATGGGGCAAATCTACCTGTTATTGAAGTTGTCTTCTTGCAGAGGTGAAAATAAGTCAATCCATGCCCTGCCTCAAGTTTCATTGAGAAGATCTCTTCTGTCCTTCAGAGAGTGCAACTCAAGCACACCCCAAGGTTGTATCTCCACAAAGCAGAGAGAATTATTCCTGATCAGGGACTGCCAGAGCTGTGACTGGAGGAGAAACCAAGTGTGGAGATTCTTCCTGCTTTGGTAACTACACGGCCTGATTCCAGGATCCATTTTTGTCCAAGGTACAGGGACAAGCCCTAACAGCAGCCACTGACACCCTGGGAAGAGCCCAGTGTCTCATGAGGAATGCAGCTGGGCAAGAAAAGCAGCTTTGCAGTGTCCCACTAACCTTCTTTACTGCTAACATGTGCCATGAGAAGGTCTCTCACTGCCAACAGCCAGAGCCCTCAGCAGAAGTTTCATGGGACCTCTTGGACTGGGCAGTGAACACTCAGGTCACCTGAGCTCTCAGTGTTCTTTGTGACACTCAGGAAAAGTCTCCAAAACACCCAATCCAGACAGACAAAACCTCTTTGACAGAATTGTTCTGGTTGGAAAAGACCTTTAAGGTCATTGAGTCCAACCCTTCCCCCAGCACTGCCAGGTCCCCACTGCCCCGTGCCCCCTCACCCCACATCTCCACAGCTTGGAAACCCCTCCAGGGGTGGGGACTCCACCACTGCCCTGGGCAGCCTGGAAAAGCCTTTTGGAGAAGACTTTTTTCCTCATGTCCAACTTAAACCTCTCCTGGGGCAACTTGAGGCTGTTCCCTCTTCTCCTGTCCCTTGGGAGCAGAGCCCGACCCCTCCCTGGCTCCAGGCTCCTGTCAGGAGCTGTGCAGAGCCAGAAGGTCTCCCCTGAGCCTCCTTTGCTCCAGGCTCAGCACCCCCAGCTCCCTCAGCTGCTCCTCCCCACACTTGTGTTCCAACATTATGACAAACAAGTCACAATTATTTGGGTCACTGTTTCACCCCTGTCTGCTTTTCCAAGCTGAAGGGAAAAAAAACCTCCCCACTTTACTTCCAACCCGTGCACACATGAATATTTCAGGGGATGCCACTGCTGCATTTCCTCTGCAGCATCCACATCACTTGGAGGGGGCTGGAGATGCTCCACACAGGAGGGGGATATTCCCCAATCCCAGCTGATCGTGGAGACAATGCTGTGCCAACAAATCTGTGGAGCCCAACACCAGCCTCAAACTGTGTTAGAACTGGTGAGCAAGCCAAGAGAAAACTGAAATAAAAGAACAAACAGAGGGTTGGTGCCCAACACCCTCTAAAAACACAGAATCCAAGGGTGGTTGGGTTGGAAGGGACCTTTAAAGGTCACCTAGTCCACCCTCCTGCCCTGAGATCTTCACCTAGAGCAGGCTGCTCAGAGCCCTGTCCCATCTGAGGTGATCTCCAGAGGTCCCTTCCCACCCTGACGATGGTGGGGCTCTCTGAAGGAGTCCCACAGGCCAACAGCTACAACAGGATCCATCCTGGCCACTGACAACCAACGTGTCCACCCCAAAGTATCTCCAAGGTCAGTGAGGTGAAGCAGTCCCTGAGCACAGCAAGGGAAATGCCACAGCTGGGGATGTGAAAGGGGAAGAGTTTGCACATCATTTTCTACACACAAAACCACCTTCTCCCCCTGGAGGGTTGTCCCAGGCTGCCCAGGGCAGTGGTGGAGTCCCCACCCCTGGAGGAGTTTCCAAGCTGTGGAGATGTGGGGTGAGGGACACAGGTTAGCAGTGGGGACCTGGCAGTGCTGGGGGGTGGTTGGATTCCAGCTTTAAGGTCTTTTCCAGCTGAAATGTTGTGATTCTATGAATTTAGGCCCCTCTGTCTTCTGCTGAGATGGTTGAACCTGGCCCTGGCAGATCCAGAAGCACCAACACCTCCCAAAGCTGAGCGTGGTGAGAACCACGTTCATCACACAGAACATTTTAAAGCAAATCACTTCTGCCCCAAATAAAACCTTCCCTGAAGTCACAATGTTGGACATCAGAGGTATGGAGGGTGACAAAGCAAACACCAAATGTCCTGCTGCCCTCTCCCACACACACAGACCAACTGGGAAAGAGTTTAAAGATGAAAAGAAATTAACTCCTCTGGACTTGTTACTCCAACTGTCTTCATGGAATCACGGAGGTTGGAAAAGATCATCAAGATCATCAAGTTCAGCCATCAACCCAACACTACCATGACCCCTAAACCCTGTTCCAAAGTGCCACGACGTGTTCCTGAAGGAGAAATCTTGGGTTGGGCACATCCAGAGGATTGTAAGTGAGTGTTGGTGAGGAGACACACATCCCTTGGATGGACACAACACTCCTACCTTCACCACCACCTTTAGGAGACACTGCCCACAACCTTTCTGCCAGCCTTTCAGGTGGCCAAAGCCAGCCAGGCACTGAAAAGGTTCAAACATCTTCATCTTTTTGGTCCAGAAAGGGAATCCCTGTTTCATCTTTTCTCTCTTTCAAGGGGAAACTCCACTTGGAAACATCCCAGGTCACAGCTCCAGACACAACCCATGGGATGAAGAATTTAGGCAAATGTGGGGAGAACCCCAACAATTCACCACACGTGGGGGGGACTAAGAATTTCAGAGAGATTTAGCTGAATCAAAGCTGTGTTAAAAAAGCCTCTTTTTTTCCCCAATATGAGTATTTCTCAGAGAAATGCTTCTCCTGAAAGCTCCACCCCAACACACAAGCTCTCCAGATGTTCTTTCTTCACTGACTGACTTCTGGGTGAACCTACACACCCCCCCCTGCACAGGACTAACATATTCCAACCAAACCTGCAATAATATTTGGCTAATATTTTGCTTTTTAACTAAAATCTGTCCCCCACACTGCTTAGCAGATCTCCAGGAAGGCCACGGGAGAAACCTGGGAGCAGAGCAGAAGGTGCCACCCAGCAACAACTGAACATTTTGGGTTCCCCCCCCACCCCTGTGGCAGCATTATCATTTGTCAGCTCAGGGATATTCCTTGTGATCATGAAATTTAGGACTGCCCTGATGAAATAACCTCTTCTGGCACTGAGTTATTTAAGAGCAGCACTGAGACAAACACCCCAAGCAGGGACCTGCTGCTGACCATGTGGGAGATGACACAGATTTCCCCAGGGCAACCTCCCTTAATGCCCTTTGAGCCTGCAATCCTAAAGAGCCAGCACTAATCTAAACCAGCCCAGGGGACTGGCTAAATCCCAGTAAGAAGATTGGTGACCCAGCCCCAGCTCTGGCGTGGGACCAAAGGAGGGGCTGTGCCCCCTGCCCCCAGCTGCAGGGCTCGGGCCACCAGGGCAGTGAAAAAGGCACCTGAGAGGTCCCAGAGATCTCCCAGCAGGACCTTCTAGGGGTACACAACACAGGAGAAGTCCTGCTGTGGAAATGGGGATGTGGGGGCAGCCCCCCAACACTGCTCTGAGGGGAAGGGGAGACCATGGGGGACAGGACTTCTCAAAGCTCAGGGATTAGTCTCACACGTGGTCCTTCACTCCAAGAAGGACCCTGAGGGGCTGGAGTGTGGCCAGAGAAGGGCAACGGAGCTGCTGGGGAAGGGTCTAGAGGCCAAGTGTGGGGAGGGGCAGCTGAGGGAGCTGGGGGTGCTGAGCCTGGAGCAAAGGA